TTATAATGGATTCAACAGAACATGAGTTCATGGTTGCAGGCAGCAAATTTTCTGTTCAAGGTTAAGTATTTTATTTGTTCTTTGTAGCCTATATTATATGGAATTCTCTAGGAATTTTGTTAATAATGTTCAACAGAACATGGTCATGTTGCAGCAAATTTCTCTTTCAGTTAAGATTTTATTTTGTTCTTTGTAAGCCTATATAAAGGCTGTCATCTTGCTTAATTATATATCAGTACTTTGAGCATCTCTTCTCTCTTTTATTTTTGTTTATTTCCTATCAGTTTATCAATTTTTTATTAATTTGAACTTTTCCTTTTTTATTAATTTGGCCATTGTTAACCAAATATTCAACATCACAAGTCATGAAATCAAAGAATAGAGAAAAATTTAAGTTTCTAACATGTCCATGTCTTGTATGCCATAGTCATCATATGTAAAAGTTTGTCACGCATTAATTTAGGAAATCGTAGAGATCAATGAACTACGATTTTTTGAGGATCAAATTTCAATTTAGCCCCTTAATTTTTCAGCTGCGTTCAATTAAATTTAATTTTAAGTTTGTAACCAAATTGATACAAAGTTTTATTTGCATTCAATTACACTCAAAATTGGGTTTGATTTCATTCTTGGCTTACACCGTTAGAATCCCACATCGAATAAATATCAATTCACAAAGGGCATATAATAACAATCTAGCTAATTAATTGGTTACTAGTAATTTTTTAGCATTGGTTGCCCAAATTCAAGTAAGTCCACGTCACAAATGGTATAAAACTACAAATTACGGTGTAAATGTCTTTATGTTGGAGAAAAAAAAAAATACAGAAAGAGTGATGTTTTTCTAAATGGCAATCAAATGACTGACTGAATACACATGAAATGAATATATGCAAATATTTTCTAATTTCCAAAATTGAATGAAATGCAAAATTAATGCTTATCAAGATCTGATTTTCTGAAATCACATTGAATCTGCCAATACCCATTAGAGAACAGAATATAAAATCTTTGAGCCAATTTTGGCTGAAAAAAAAAAATCAATTGCTCACAATGGAAAAAGTCAGAGGTTAAAATTGAAGTCAGCAACGTTATCATTCCCATTGCCGTTTAAAACACACATATTGATAGCGTACGACAAGTCTTATTTTGATGGTGAAGTATAGCTTACTCTACCATTTCTTCATATTGATACGAAGTTATGCAAACTAGTTATTTTTTGACCAAGTTTTTAACTTAGACATCAAGTACCAATTTTTTTTTTTTTTTTTTTTAAATAAAGATTAGCAGCAAGCTTAAATCATGGTTATGATATCTTTTTATGATAACGTTGTATCATGAATCAATTTTTACGCACTATTTTTAAAATAAAACAAAAAACACATTTATGATTTGATATTGAGAATCGAATCATAACTAATAAGATTGTGAGTATTATAATATTTTCTTTCTTTTTTGATTTAGCAATAAATAATATTACCGATTAGTTTTTATGTGTTATATAAAGTTTATTGTATTTTTTCTATCTTATCAAAGCCAAAATCTTTGAGGTCGGAATTAAGAAATTTGTAAATAAGAAAAACGATAATTTATGATTGTCCAATCAGAGAAATTCGTAAAAAAAAAATAACAAAAATGTTTTGCTATATCATATATATGATTGTCCAATACTCTTTACAAGTTGTGTGATTATCATCACCATCTGATTGCTATCAAAGCAAGAATAATGAGCATCAAAACTATTTTCACTTGAAAGAAAAGCAAAAGAAAAGGCTATACATAATGTTTTAATTAAAAGACAGAGGATGATACATTACATTCACATAAGAAAGCCATGTTTTAATTAATATTATATACAGTATTTAAAAATAGCTAGTGCATGTGGAATAAGAAAGCTGCTCGAATGTGTGTGTGTGTCTGAGTGCCAATAAATAGATTCTGTGCCAAATGCTATAAATTAAGGTTAAAAACCTAAATTTTATTATTATTATTATTAACTAAATTTGTTTTTTGTTACCTTAAATTTATCATTCAGGATTTGATTACTAAGGTCAGATTATAAAAAATAAGAAAGCCTTGGACCGTAGAAATAATATTAATAACAGATGACAGTTAAAATTGTGGAAGAATTGTGGGATAAGAAAGGCAGCGGAAGGTGCGTGCGGGAGGCAACTGATCTCGTGACGCGGTAGCAGCCTGCCGGCTCGTTGATGAGCTAGCGTTTTAGCGTGCAAATGAATAGTTTATTAACTAACACCGACACCGACCTTTAATTTCCTTGTTGCTTACATTATATAATCTAAGAAGTTCACCTTTCATTGTTAGTCAAATTCTTCCCTTCATTATTATTACTTCTTATCTAAATGAATATTAGTAATTTATTATTATTATTATTATTATTATTATTATTTAAAATTAAGAAGATTCTGGTGCGCAAAATGCTATAAATTTAAGCGGTTAGGAACAAAACTAAATATTAGTTATTATTATGGTATAGGTATTAAGACTATAATTTGTTTTTTGTTAGCGCAGTGAATAATTAAATTGGGTTATACAATGTCAGAACGATGCATATGATACTAAGCGTCAGATTAATAAAAAAAATAGAGAAAGCTTGGACGCGTAGTAGAAAATGAATGAATTAAATAAGAAAGATGACAGTTTAAAATTGTGCGGAAGAGATTGTGGGATAAGAAAGGCAGGCGAAGGTGGCGTGGCGGGAGGAACTGATCTCGTGCGGGCGGTAGCAGTATAGGCTGCCGGGTTACAGATTCGATGAGGCGTAAGCAAGTTATTAGCGTTGGCGAGCAAATGGAAGAGATACGGTGGTTATGTATGACTAACCGGCGTGGGGATACACGGAAGACACTGCGGACTATTATTTTCCTTGTTGGCTGGAGGGTAAATTATATAATCTAAGAAGTTCACACTTTTCATTGTTAGTATACGATCGGGAAGGAGGCTCAGGGGAGTGTCTATTAAGCGTCGGACTGTGCATGGTTATTATGTATATATTCTTAGTGATTTGCCAGTAAATGAATATTAGTAAATTTTTGAGTGTTATTAGAAGTTGAGTATATTAATTGTATTTATTAAGTGTTGAGAGAGGGCGAGCGACAGAGGTAGTGAGGAATCTAATTATCGTGCTTGAAATTTGTAGAAGAATAGTTGAAAAACTTATAAAAATCATGTAAGTTAATAGAAACTTTTACTTTAAATATTCGATGAGTCATCAAGTCAAGGTAGGAGGTTTGGGGTGGGTGGAAGAGTCTTCGTGTGTACAAATATTAGCGACCACATTGATAGAGTATAAACTAAATCTGAAGTTTACCTAGTATCGCGAAGAACGGTTATTTGATAAGAAAAATGGCGTTAAAAGCATCAAATAAAATATAATTTGTAGCAACTTATGCTATAAGGCAGCCTGGGCATTATTATTATTATTATTATTATTATTTACGCGCAGTTGAATCAATTATCGTGATTGAAATTTAGAATTGAAAACTTAAAATCATTAAGTTAAAAAACTTTTATTTAAATATCATTCTCTCTGTAAATATTACGCCACATGTAAGAGTATAAACTATCAGTTACCGAAGACTTATGATAAAAAATTAACATCAAATAAAATATAATTTAGAACCTTATCTAGCTAGCCTGCTTATAAGCAGCTTTATGACAATTTCTTCTAACAAAATTACAATTTACTAGTTTCACTGATTGATTTGGTGAAACATCCAAAGAACATTCTCATTGAAATATTCAACTTTTTTGGATTTTTTTTTATATTTATTTACTGTTTATGTCAACGGTTGATGTATTTCCTTTTTAGAATTGAGTAATTTGGTAACTATAGCAATGCCATAATAAATCCAGAAATTTCGCATATGACAATAAAGATTAATGACAAATGTGTACTAACTTATAGTAATCACACTCCTCTATCCAGCCAAATCCACATTTATTGTGTTATCATTGTCCTGATTTTTTAGAATTAAGGGATACAGTCAAATAAAAAAAAACTTGACTTATGATTTAATTAATCTTAATAAAACCCATAATAAATAAAATAACATGTAAATTCATTTATCAATTAATTTAATAACCATTGTAATTAATTCATTTATCAAGTAGTTTTTAGCATTTTGATTAGTCAAAATATTGATTTCTATTTTTATTTTGTTAAGTAATATAGCATTTAAACTGATTTTTAGATATTAAAATAACGTTTTATAAAAAATTAATTCATGCACTTTTTCGCTTTTAGTGTTTCATGAAAGCTACTTATACAGCTAACAGTTAGATTGTATTCGATAACAACTTTTTTTAAATAGTAGTTTAGCGCTACTTAAAAAGTTATTCGATAACATAGCATTTGGATTAGTTTTTAAAGATTATGGTATGTGAAAAGTTAACTCGAGTAACATTTAGTTTTTAGGATTTCATGAAAAGCTATTAAAACAGCTAACAGTTAAACACTACTAAAACACTTAACTGTTACCAACTATTAAAATAGCTGACAGCTAACAAAACAACTAATTTTACATAACAAACCATAAATTAACCTTACAATCTACCTTAAAGTAAACAATTTCTTTTTTTATATACATTAAAATACAGTCTAATAGAAAGTGTATGTACCACTATAATGATTTCAGGTAAAAAATAATAATTCTTTTTTTAATATCAAAATTGAACGCTACATGTATATTTGAATATTGTTTGCATTTTTTTCATAAAAATATAAAAAAGTTTTTATTAAGCTGAAATAAAACATTATACACTGAAATGAACTTTCTGGGTGGATTACACTGTAGACTCCTACTTGGGCTAGTTCTCTTTGGACTTTTATTTCCTTTTTGTATTTTCTTTGAATTTTTTTTTTTTTTTAAAGAAAATAAACTATTTACGCGGCTCCCAACACAACTGGACTTAATCCTTCGCCATTGGAACATCCATCCAACTATATATACATGTCAACCCTCCTCCTTTCGCCCCAACATAACATAATCTCAACTATTTTCTTTATTTTCTCTTCTCAACAATCATATTTATATTTTTACAAATCAAGAAACAGAACTCAGACACCCATTCTTGATTCTTGAATCTTGATTTTCCGTTTCTTTTCAATCTCCATGGGAAACTACGTTTCTTGCAAACTAGCTAACCCGCTAGTTCCCAAGAACTCAAAATTAACGAAAATTATCCTTCCTACCGGTGAAATCCGGCAAATCCAGTACCACCACCAACAGCCGACCAAAGCGGCGGAGCTAATGTTGGAAACACCAAATTTCTTTATAGTTAACACCAAGTCCCTAAAAATTGATCGGAGATTTTGTCCTCTCAACGCCGACGATGATCTTGAAAAGGCAAATGTGTATGTTATGTTTCCAATGCAGAGAAAGGACACTAAAGTCACAGCAAGTGATTTAGGTGCTCTGTTTATGACCGCCAACTCTGCTTTGAAACGGGTTTCTGGAGGAAAAGTAAGGGTCAGACCCGATATTACGGCGGATAATACAGTGGACGACGAGCGGAGGAAAAGTGACGATGAGGTGGTAGTGCCGAGGCTTAGTTTGGAAGGTATAGAAGAGGTTTCGACGCCGGAGTTTAGGCATAGAATGTCCATGTCAAGGTCAAAGAAGCCATTGTTGGAGACTATAGAAGAAGAGCCGATACGATCAAGATTATTAAGAGATAATATAAAGTTATATACTCGTTAAAATGAGTTTCCTTTTCTTATATGGTTTCTGAAGTTGAAACTTTGTTTTGTTGAAAAAACCATGAAAAAGCAGAGAAAATTGTGTATATGATTTTTCTTTTTTTGCCATGCATGAAAAACAAATGTTACTTCAACTCCTTTTATTTTATTGTTTGAGTTTTGTTCTTACAGAAAATTTTCTGGAAGATGGTTGAGGATACCCTAACTGAAGGGTAAATTATAACTTTGCATTTTGTTTTTATTAAATTTATCTAAATTTTGATTTTTACTTTAAATGAGATCACCTAAGTCATGTGTATACGGTTCATTCTTATAGGCCGATCCAATTACAAATCTGATCTTACATTAAAAAAAATAGTAATATTTTTAAAAAATATTTTTTTTTTTTATTGACTTAGTAAATGGAGCCAACCATTCGATAAATAAATTTTATAGTACCTGAAGAAATGGATAAATTGGAATTTTCAAATGGGCAAATAGTGAATTGGATTGGTGTGGTTTTTAAATTTGAATATTTGATATGATTTTAATTTTTTTATGATTTTCATCTGAAATGGAAAATTCAGATACTTGATAAAATCAAATCATTATTTATTTATCTAAAAAGCATTTATTTTATATTAAAATGATTTTAATAGATGGCAGTTTTGTTATGTATATTCTTTAAAGTGATAATATCTCAAATTTATAGGTGATAAACAGGTGATAACTCATAGGTGACCGCTAAGGATAAAATAGGTTTTTTTTTTTTTTCTTTTGAGAATAAAAGAGGGTTTTTTAAGTTTTGTAAAAGAGATGACTTTAGAGCTTACAATCTAAAATTATTATTATATAAATAACTACTAAGGAGTAATTAATAAATTTCTCTAATGTTATCAATTTTTATATTAAATAAGATAATTATTTTTATAATTTTCTATATACATTAAAATTGGAGTAATGATTTAAGATAAAAAGTAATTTAGTGGAGTTAATGAATATTTTTATAGATAAAAACATTTTTTCACATATAGGTTTTATTCGTGAACATTTATGAATTATTTTTGAAAAATATTAGATTTATTTGAATTCTTAAATATTTTACCTTACAAAATCGTTTGGTTTAATGGAGTTTGAAATGATGGAAATTTCGTGGATTTGATTATCAGTTTTTTGTTTGGTTAAGAAAAAAAAATATAATAATTTCTGGAATTAATAAATTTCATATTGAACTCTATTTTAAAAAATAAAGGAAATCTCATCTCATAATTGAAATTTTCTTAATTCCATCAATTGAATCTAAATCATTTAATTTTATTCTAAAAATACTTTTCAAATTTATGAGTTTTCTTTTCCGAAGAATGGATTTTACATTTTATAAATTTCACAAAATTATATGGATTTAAATTTCCATTCCATCAATTCAAATACTATAATTAAAGATAAATACTCAACATTTTTATTGAATTATTAATGCAATAGAAAGGGTGGCTTAATGCCACAGCAATCAATTTTTTATAACACCAAATGGACTTATTTGCCATTCCTAATTTAAATTTAACATTTTTTTTTCTCTCTCAAATCCTATCTCCTCTGATTTTCCCTTTATAATTTTCCCATTATAGAATCACTTTAAATACGAAATCTTATTCATTTAATTAACTGTCAGCCAAATATTTTATGTAAATACCATATTTCCATTCCAATTTCTATAATTATATTCATCTTCCTCATCTAACCATTATCATCATTAAAAAGGCATTGTTGAAGATGGAAACTCTCTTCATCAACCTGGTGAAGTTCAACAAGAATAATATTTGTAAACACTGTTAATTTAAAATTTACTTCTTTAATTATCTGCACAAGTATTATACTAAAATTTGTGCTTCTTGATATGGATTCATTGGTGCTTCCTAGTGGGCTTAGATGTGTTCTTATCCCTTGTTGCTTATTTTGGTCTAATTAATATGTAAGGGATATGGGCTCATAGTGTTTATTTAAGTTGTTTTAGCTTCTTAGATATGGATTCATTGGTGCTTCCTAGTGGGGGCTTAGATGGTGTTCTTCTCCCTTGTTGCTTATTTTGGTCTAAATTAATATGTATAGGGATATTGGGCTCATAGTGTTTATTTAAGGTTTTTTGGGTTGTTGTTTTGGGTTGGTTTTATGATGCATGCAATCTGCCCAATATCAAGTTGTTTGTTTTGGGCTGGAAATGACTTTATTTTGTGTTTTAGAGTTAAGCCCCTGTGTTTTGGCCCTAGGGCAGCCTAGTTAGATGCTCTTCTTTAGGGTTATGTTTGTTTAAGGCATATAAATAGCCTCCTTAATATGTAAAACGAGATTTTTGGCATAATTTGAATCAAAGGCAGAATTGTTCATGCTCTTGCATGTTCTTCTTAATTAGAGTGATTGTGAGAATTTGCTATTCTCTAATTGCATCAAGAATTAAGGTAAACAAGAATTAAGGATAAACTTATCAAACATCGTTGTGGCGTTTATCTTATTCTTTGCTCGATTATTGGTGATTACCGGTTTCCTTATAAACGTGGGGTGCCATAGAGCGTTTTAATTCTTCGATTAATTGGTTGTTTTCCGTTCCTTATAAACGTGGGGTGCCATAGAGGCGAACTTATATCCCATTCCTTAAAGTTTTGGGGTAAGTTCTGTTATCTTAGTTAGGAATTTGAGTTTTCTTGTTGTTGAATTCCATTGTTGTTTGTCTAAATTCTTGTTTTCATTCTTAGATCTAGACATTATCTCTTTAGAGCTTGTTAGATCTAAATCTTGTTGGATCTTGACATTATCTCTTTAGATCTTGTTGGATCTAAACATTTTCTCTTTAAATCTTGTTGGATTTAGATATTTTCTCTTTAGATATTCTTGGATCTGAATATTTTTTTTTTCTTATTCGATCTTCTTGAATCTAGTTTTCTCTTTAGATATTCTTGTTGTTTGCTTGTTTCTTGATAAAAAAAAAAAAAAGATCCAGACATTGCAGCCTCTGGCATTGGCAGCCTTAGATCTTACTATTTAGATCATAAAAAAAAAAAAAAAAAAAAAAATCATTGTTAAAGAGTTAAAGAGAGATAAGTCAAATTGTTGTTAAGGTCATTACCTACCTAAGTTGAATTGGGAGACAAAAGTCATTGTTGGACAACCTAAATAATAAGTCATTACTTACCTAAATTGAAATTGGGAGACACAAACCATCCACTTATACCTTGTTAAGGCTTTACCCTACCTAAATTGGATCACATTTGTGGGTTAAGTAAGGATATAAGTCATGCACGCTGCTACAGTAACTTGCTACAGGAATTCAGAAGCATCCGTGCTACAGTACCTTAAAAAAAAAATTTTTTTTTTTTTTGGATTTTCTTTGTTTGCTTTCTTTGATTGGGTAGAATTAATTAGGTCCATATTTGATTTGCTTTGTAGTGAACTAAATTCATACATTATATCCAGAAATTGTCTTTTAAATTCTAGTTTCTATTTCTTGTTTGTGTGCTATCTTTTTGTTTGTGTGCTATCTTTGCTTCATTTATATTGTTAGGGTGTATTTGCTTGTTCCAACACTCTAATTAATAATCAAGTAGTACATTGTTTTGTTCTTGCGCTACCATTCATTTCGTTTGAGTTTTCTTTTACCATTCATTTCGTTTGAGTTTTCATTCTAGAATTGTGCTTACATTTCTTTTGTTAAGGTTTATTTTCCTTGTGTTCTAAACGTGCTTTGAGGTTGATTGGTTGGCCTGAAATTCTGAAGTACAATTGGAGGATTTGGCAAGGAGTGATTAAAGAGTGTAAACACGTGAGGGAGTGCTTTATCACTAACTCAAATGTTTTCGTGTTTTCTATTTTGAACACTAACCATGAGTGCAAGCACATCTAGAGATAATAGTGGGGATGGAAGGCAAATAGAGGATCCCCAGTTGAAACTTGTAATGGAGTCAATCCTAGGACAATTTAGAACTTTCAACAATTCCGTCCAAGATATAAGAAAGGAGTTGCAGGAGTTTAAAGCTGCCCAACGCTCTAATACAAGAAGAGCTCGACCTAGTGGTACACCAACTAGATTTCAAACTCATGAAGAGCATGAAGAGAAGAAGGTCGATAATCCTGATCGTTACTTTAGGGATTTGAATAATGAGTTAGGAAGGGTGCAGGGAAGGAAGAATGTGGATTACCTCAGCAGATATTCATCAATAGGTATTCAATCACAAAGGATGAGCGGAAGACCATTCTAACACCAGTTTGGTCATAAGAAGGGTATGTCGACCAATATAAAAAGCAAGGTATCAGACTTGAGGGTGAAAAGAAAGAAAAAGAGAGTGAAAATAAAATGAGTGAAAATACACAAAGTGCAAATAGAAAGATAGAGGGAGAAGAAAAGGAAAAACATGTGAGTTTAATAGCTAGGACAAGTGAGGTTAAACGTGTTTTGCACAACAATCAACCTATATTTGTAACTTTGTGCAAAGAAGCTTATTTCTCCAGTAATGATCCTAACCCACATTTGCCAAGTGTGTTTGTGGATCCTTTGCAGGAATTTGAAGTATCTGCTAATCAAAAGAAGCTACTTGAGAGAGAGGCTTCAGCTTTGAGGGAAAATGGAATTGATGCTTTGAGCTCGAGAGAATGAATATTGAACAGAAAAGTTGCTTGAGAGAGAGAAAGAGGAGTTCACTGATTCTTCTTGAAGCGTTGGTCCTAGTGGATTGCCACCTTGAGAGGGATCGAACATCAAATCGATTTCATTCTTGGCTCACCATTCCAAATCCAAACCAGTCAATTTAGAAGCCAATCCCAGGATGGATTGACAAGGTTGTTTGCAAAAGGCATATTCAGGTCTGTAGGCTCAGGTTGTAGCAAACAATGGAGTTCAATACGGTCTAAAAAGGAGAAGAAGAGTAAAGAAAAGGGCATGGATTCTAAGGAGAAGTGGACTGATCCTAGCAAGTAAAAGGATACCTCAATTTTTAACTAAGATTCGAGGACGAATCTTTTTGAGGAAAGGGGGAATGATATGGATCCATTGGTGCTTCCTAGTGGGCTTGGATGTGTTTTTATCCCTTGTTGCTTGTTTTGGTCTAATTAATATGTAAGGGATATGGGTTCATAGTGTTTATTTAAGTTGTTTTGGGTTGATTTTATGATGCATGCAATCTG